TTGTTTAAAATTTCGTATCAAAATAGGTCCAAATTTCAGCATCAGCCAATTTCAGCATCAGCCGCGACAATTATTAAGTTCCTTCAGGTTCAAAAGAGAATGATAATCTGAATACCGATGTAAGGTTAATGTTTGATCATTAATCTCAATGTAAGCTGCGAAATTGGCATAATCATAGCCTGCGTCAGTGATAGCGCTAATAATTTGGCGTGGACTCAATAATCTTGGTGGTGTCTTATTATGTTCCCACTTGAGACTGTATTCGTTCTCGAAAATTACCCGGGTATAAACGCCAATATTCGAATAAATTCTATTTTCGATATCTACGATACTCGAAAAATAGGACTCGAGTGCTCGTTCGAACCTTTGTCTCTCGTTCGGGTCTTGAACTTGCGAAGAATCTTCAATATCGTAATATATATCATTCACGTCGTCAAAACAATTATCCGGACTTCTATAATTTAGTGCTGTTCTTATTTTTTCGAACATCCTCGGCCAGTCATGGGACTGTAAATCAATATAAGCTTCTTCCGCAGGAAATCTTTTATCAATTGAAAATAGGTGCTTGATCTTATACATATTCGCCAAAATATCAAGGCCACTGTGACGTTCTGTCTGTAGAGCAAATTTAACTGCGGCCAATTTATCTTTAAGATCCAGAATAGTACTAATATTTGTCCATTGGTGATATTGCGCAATATGAGCTCTTGTATTGTAAGACTCACCGTATGTCATAACTATCCTGATTTTCTGATATTAAGGCTGAAAAAAGAAAAGATCAGAAACAGACCAAAACTTTTAATAAAGTTTATTAAATTTTATATAATAATGATTTTGTTACTATTATTTGGAAGAAAAAAGTAATAAACCAATGTCCAATTTAATTTTAATAGCACCGTGAATAGGTTCTTAATAATAGCAAAGCACGATCGCTTATATATAGTAAGAATTGTGGCTTGTTCTCGTGATTAAGGGTTAGAATTTATAATTAAAGAGTATATGTGGATTCTAGCAGGGCCTATATTTTAAAATTGGGATCCCAAATTTCAGCATCAGCCGCGACAATAATTACCTAGATTACCACCTTATCCTTAACGATCAAGATCTCGGCAAAATCGCGTTCATTTCCGATCAAAATTACCCCGGAAATAAATATATCATCTATTTTTATGAAGATGCTAGCACTTTATTTGCTAACATTATCTCTGATTTTAAATACCCACAAGATCCAAATAAGTTAACCGTCAATATTTGTCATATCTAATAATAACATTATTGTAGATAATCACATTAATATTGAAGTTGAAAGAATGCTTAAACTCAGCCAACTAATCTATTAAGAAATTTTGATTCAATGATCGTTTATGAACAAGATTACAATTTTATTAATAACATTTATTGTTACATATTAGTCTCTTATTTACTAAAAGATATAAAGCTTCAATGAAGTTTTTTTTTCAAGATAAAGTCACAAAAACATGTAGATTTGCAAATTTTTTAGAAAGAAATAATTGTCTTTATTAAATAGTAATATTAAATAGTAATAATCAACATTATATATAGTATAAACATGCTATTGCATAGATTTTTACGATTTTTACTAGTTAATTTACTCTTGGTCTATATTAGAGTGAACAGAAGGTCTCGCTTATATCATTATAGTATGGATGTAGTTAGTAAACGTATCGTAATTAATGAATGTTTATCTGTTATGATAAAATGCTGCTAAGGAAAAATCTGTAAACACAAAAAAAATTGATAATCGATATTATATAGTTATTCAATGAATTTACTCAATAATTTTATCACATAAAATAATTTATTTTATAAGCTATTAATAATAAGCATTGAAAAATAACATTTTTTTTAGTATAGTTAAAATTTAAATTCGTACGTACGAACGTACTCACAACTACAATTCATCTGATTGTCAAATCTTTGTTCACATGATTTTTTTTACGCTGGGATAGATTTAAAGTTAACAGTTATATCCGAAAGAAGTCTTTTATAAAGCATGAAAGTCAGTTTTTGGTGGACATTTTAAGACAAAAATGAGTTTTTCAAGCACATATTTCAGTATTTATCTTGGAGTCTTTTAAAGTGTTACATTATGCCTAATATCCAGTGTCTCTATAAAAGGTTGCAATCACGTGGTGCCGACAAAATTCTTTAAAGTTCATTAATGTTGGTTGCATTCAGATTAAGATTAGACATTGGCAACATACACAGTAAAATTGTCAAGGAAAACATTTTGTTAAGAACACTATAGGTGGTTTCTTATGTAATTTTTGAATCTTTGAAAAACGAACGTTTGTTCAGAATTCGTTAAGTACGTTACACCTAATATGTATCCTGCAACGTGACTGAACTTTTTTAACGATAGTTACTATCGTCGGCATCCTCTTAAAGTATTGATTGACGACTTAATTTAGTAAAGAAAATCTTTCCACATAGAATTTGTTCACCTTTAACGTATATATCGATATGATTGTTATCCAAATAATTTCAAATCGCTAGATACGTAATTGAATATGAAATTTTTTAGTTTTATTAGCATCAGCCTTTTACTTTTTACATTAATTTCTTTGTCATGCACAAATTTTCAAACGACAAAACATTCAGCCGACTTAAAATACTGGTGTGGCAAACCTTATATACCGAAAAGTCAATTAATAAAAAATATTAAACAATTGAGACAAAGCATTAACCAATGTAGTAAGAAAACATTTTGTTTGGCAAACAAAAATGAAATATACTATACTGGCACTTTTTCATCAGTAACACCTCCAACAATTAAATTCCCACCTACAAACGAACCAGTCCCTTTGATACCAGATCTAAGCGATGGATACACAGCAATGTTTCGTAATCAACCATACTTGAGTACTGATTTAGTCGGTTCATTAGTGATTAGTTTAAACAATACTATCTCGACTATTTCAGTCAAAGCATTGTTACATGATGGATCTGAAATACTTGCAATAACTAAAATAAAAAATGATGGAAACTCAATTGAATTACCTTTTTCGCTTGCAAAAATTAAATCAAAATTGGAGGCACATGAAGTCAAAATTTTCTTTTACATTGAAGATATGTTGGCTCATCTTTCATACGCAAAACTTTATGTTCTTCCCGTAGGTCAGTTTAAATTTAATTATCCTTGACACATAAAAATTTTTTTAATAATAATACAAAAGGGCCCTTTTTTTTTTTAATCGCTAGGACCAAAAACTGTCAAGATTGATCGTTTATATGGCGGAATTTTAACCTCAACAAATGAAACAATTTTTCCAGTCGGACCATATGTTGATATTGGTGGATGGTTAGAAAAGGGTAAAGAAAGTTCTCTTTACATTTTCACAAATATATACGTAACAAATATATAAAATTGAATGAATAAAATTTGGAAACCATATTTATTTAAAAAGGAAATATCCAAACCAATCTCCAAACTCTCAAAGATCAGAATTTTAATATCATTAATCCTGATCCACCATATCCAAATATTTCATTCATTCATCAAATGTTTCAGGCAGCTGACGCCATAGGTGGAATATATATTCAATATTCATTTCGACATGATTATACCGATATTCAAAAGGTTATCAATCAAGTAAACCAGTTTAAGAATTATTCAAGTTTACTTACATGGTATATAGTAAGTTTATTTTAATTATTTAATTTGATTTTTTTAAAAAATCTATAAATAGTTTATTTTTTGTGGTTTATTCTTTTGTGATTAAATTTATGATCAATTTTGAGGCAGATGAACCTGATGGTGAAAAATGGACATACAGTTCTTCTGCAGTTTTCGAGGCATATGATGTTATAAAAAAAATGGATCCATACCATCCAATCTCTTTGACGCTAAATTGTAAATATAGTTCTGCTTTTTATGCAGATGCTACGGATATATTGGGCATTGGTATGTTTTTATTCTCTTCCGTGATAATTCTTTAATACTTGATTAAAGAAAATATTATTCTTATTAGACGTTTATCCAGTCGGTGTAAATATGTTACCCTGCACGGAATATAGTGATGTGTGTGGTTGTGACGATTGTATAGGAAGCGTCACACTTGATATACCTAAACGAACTCGACAGTATGTGAAAGACTTGACTCTCATAGGCCGAAA